TGAGCCGCCTCCCGTGTGCCGCCAGCTCCCTAGTCTCTGCCATCAGGTTGGCAAATGCTCAGAACATCTGTTTTGCGCCAGGCCCTGGGCCAGGCTCCTGGGTAGGAGGGGCCAGAGTGAGGTGGGAAGCTGTCAGGTAGGCTTGGGCTCCACCCCTGCTTTACCTCCCCCTGGCTGGGTGACCCCTAGCCACAACCTCAGTTACCCAAGGGTGAAGCAGGGATGGTCACCTCTCCTGTGAGGAGTGGAGGCAACCCAGGATGAGGGCCTGGCCCGAGGCGATGGGAGTCTGTTCCCTTCCCTGTGAGGGCGGAGGATGAAAAGGAGGCAATGCCTAGCTGTCCTCACTACCCCCCACTGTGGGCACTGCCCTACTTCAGCCCCAGTTGCCAAGGAACCACTGGCTTCCTTGCTAACCTGGATTTCTCTATTGATGGGCGGCCTTTGTCTTCCTGCCTAGGGTGCAGCCACTGCCGAGAAAGGCCTGTGTCCAGCTGTGTTTCCAGGCAACCCTAGCTCCTGGAGGCTGCAGGGAGGTCCCCAGGCCTTCAAGCCACTGGCTGGGAAACAGAAATACCTGCCCCGCACCCCCTGCTCCAGGTGGCTACCCGCTTCCCACCTCCGTCTCCCCAGCCCTGCCTCATTTGGCAGGCAGCCCAGCAAGCCCTCTGAGACGCAAGTTGTTCCGCACCTCTCCCTCCCCCGCTAACCCTTCAAGGCCCTGGGGGAAATGCAGGCTTCTCAGCTTGCAGCCTAAGCTTGGTGTGACCTGGGATCTGCCCACCAACCTTTCCTCTCCCTTCCTACACCCTCCCAACCCCCCAGATTGTCAGTGTGTATCTTCGGGCACCTCTCGTGTACCAGGCTCTGCACCAAGCATTGTACATAAATATAAGAGAATCTTGTTTGTACCTCGTACCTCCCATCGAGTGTGTGCCATAACCCCCTCCACGATTTACACGTGGGGAACCTGGGGCACGGTGAATGCTTACTGAGGGCCTGCTGTGTGTCGGGCTCTGTGCTGAGCATTTAATGTGCGTTCTCTCAGCCTCACAACAGCCCTCTGAGGGATGGGGAATGGGGGTGGGGTCCACAGCCACCGAGCCAGTGAAGAGCAGAGCAAGGAAGGCTGGTTCTCCCCCAAGTCAGGCAAGGGCTTCAGATCGGGGTTCAATCCCTCACCCCGAGCCCAGCTTCTAGGCTTCTTAATCGTCAGCCTGCTCCCTGGCCCTCTTGACCTTGGGAGAAGGTGGACCCTCTCCTGAGTGCCTTTTCTGATCCCCCTGGTTCAGCACATACCTATTCACGTGCTGCGCACCCGGCACGGGGGGCAGCAGCACGTCAATGCAGAAGGGGTGGGTGCATAGCCTGGTCACACCCAGGGCGAGGACTGCACAAGTGAGGTGGTGGTTGGGGGCTTCCAGGAAGAAGTGACTTCGAGCTAAGCTCTGAAGGAAGGGTAGCTGTCAGTCGGGTGATGGGAGGGGTTTCTGGGCAGAGGAAACAGCAGGTACCAGTGCCCGGTGAGAGAGGCAAGTGTGGGGGACAGAAAGAAGCTCTCAGTGGCTGGAGTTGTGGGGAGGGACAGGGGTCAGATCTGGGTGTTGAGACGCCTAAGCTGCGGGGGGGCTGAAGTGGAGGCCAGGGAGGAGGCCAGGCGAGGGGTGGGGTGAGCATGGAGCCGTGGGAGACCCTCGGAGGAGGCCACCGTGGAGGCGGGTGAGGCTGGAGAGGGAATGCGCGGAGATGGGGCCCCAGGCTGGGGCCCGGTGACCCCGTGAGCTTCAGTTCTGGGAAAGGGGAAGCTGCTGAGGCCTGAGGAGGCCCGGGTGGTGACACAGCTTCCTCTTTCTCTGAGGCCTCCGGGGCTGCGCCTCCCTGGGGCTCTGGCATCTCCCGCTTGGGGCCCTGGTCTCAGCTTTGCTAGTTGGCTTTCTTCCAGGGAATTTCTGGTTCTAATGGTTTGGGCATTTTTTTTGGAGGGTGGGGATGGGCTGAATGTGAGGAGCCCCTCCCCACGCCCCACGCCCCCCGTGAACCTGTTTTCTGGAGGCCTCCTGCTCCAGACACTGGGGCAGGGTTTTGTGGTGAGTGAGACAGACATCCCTGCCCTCGCTGCTGTCTGGTGGAGGGGGGCGGGGGCAAGCAATAAACAAGTAAGCAAACAGTCATAAGCCTTGGTGGGAGGTGCAGACGGAAAGAAGGGGTGATGGGGAGGAAGTCACATGACCTACGTCAGGCTCGTTACCTCATTTAAACCTCATGACAGCCTTGCTCTGGGACATAAACATCCCCATCTTGCAGGTGAGGAAACTGAGACCCAGCAAGGTGAAGCAGGGGCTCTGGTCGCCCAGGGAGCTGGTGACAGTGGGAACAGGCCCCAGGCTGAGATTTCAGGGAGGAGTGGCCTCTAAGCTAACTTCCTTCTCTGCCCCTGGGGCCTTGAAGGGTGGTTCTCCTCTGCCAGGAGCCCTGAGGCTGGAGAAGACCACCACCACTGCCCATCTTTGACAGCCCTCCCCCAGGAAGCCCTCAGGAGGTGCCCCGAGGTGCAGGGCTTTGGAAGGTCACTGATTGCCCTGCCTTCTGGAAGGCAGAGGGGTGGGGATGGAGCCTTCTCAGTCTCTCCTCCCCCAGCCAAGGGGCTTGATCTGAACTTGCTTTTCAGTCAGGGTTCCAGGGCTCAGAGCATGGGTGCTGGAGGCTGGGTGGGGAGAAGGCGGAGAGGGGAGTCAGAGCAGCAGGGGTCCACGTGCGTGCAGGGGGGTTCTGGGTGGAGGCCAGTGGCTGCCTGACCGGGCAGGTCCTCTGGGGGCTCAGGCTGATTGTGGGGGCCGGGGGAGCTGCTGTAAGCAGAGACTCAGGCTGCCAGACTGGAGTAAGTGCTGGTTTGGGGTAATTAGAAGGCACATAATTAGAAGGCGTCAGGGCGCTAGGCAGCGAGCGTCTGTGAATGTGCCTGAGTGGGCCCTCGCTGGCTTTGAGTCTGGGCCTTTGGACCCCACTTTCCTCCTCGAAGTCTTGAGACCATAGCTCCCCGTCTGTCTGGAGGTGGACAGCCTCCCTGTGGGCTCAGGTCACCCAGCAGGTGCCAGTCACGGCCAGGGGTGGGACTAGGGGGGAGTCTCTCCTCGGTGGACGTTGGGTCTCTTACTTTCCACCCCTGCCCCAGCTCTCTGGCCCACCCTGGGGATATGGACGGGTGCTGGGTCTGGGGGCTGGACAGGGCCACGGGGCCAGCCTGAGGTCTTGGGGCTCGTGGTCAAGTCTGTGGGTGAGCTCCCATGAAAAATCAAGGAGGGGGCCATGGAGAGATGGGCTTGAGTAGGAACTGGGCCTGGGCAGGGGGACACTTGTGACCACGTTGGAGGAGGGACCAGTGGAGGATGGGTCAGAGGGTGCCACCTGTTGGGTGCTGCCAGGGTGCAGCCTTCACTCTACTCTGTGGCTGGACCTTCTGTCCCAGGTTTTCCCCTGAGCTGGCCTTGGGCCGAGAGCCACTGCCAGTGACCTGGAGAGTCCCGAGGATAGTGTGACCACTGCCCCAGCCCCTCCCCTGGGTGTAATTCAAACCCCTGGCCCGCCAAGGTCTGTGCCAGGCCAGGCCCACAGTGCAGCCGGATCAGTTTCCTCCGGCTCCTTTTCCTGGTGGGAAGTCCGGGCCGCCTGTAGGCCAAGGGGCTCTCGGCTCTTCCGTGACCTGGGGTTTACTGCAGGCAGTGCTTCTCCTGCCAGGCTGGGCATCAGACAGCCCCGGGGTTCCAGGCAGGGCCCCCTCAACATGCTGGGCTTGGCTGCTCGAGGCTGCCCCTTGGGGGTCAGAGGCTGCCTGTGGCCTGTGCCTGAGGCCCTCCATGTACACTCCTCCCTCACCCTCCTGAGCCTGGAGACAGGCCTCCTGGAAAGAGGTCATTGAACTCCCTTGTTCTGCCACTATCCCTTTTGTGCAATCCAAATTCTTCTTCCAGCTCTTCCAACCTCGTCCGTCCTCCGCTGGAGACTTCTACAGAGGAGGCCACACCCTTGAGCCTGGGAGCTCAGCCTCAGGCCTGTGCCCATCACCCTCTGTGCCCTCACATGCCTTATTTGGTTTCTTGGCACTTCCCTCGCTCTGGCACGGGACGCTCACTGTTTATCTGTTGGTCGTTGGTCTCCCCTGGGGTGTGAGTTCCCTGAGGACAGGGACAGCGCCTGTCTTGTTCATACCTTTTCCCGTGCTGAGGGCAGTGCCCAGCACACAGCAGGTGCCCAAGAGAAGACAGAAGGCTTGAACGCTGCTGCCACTCCCCACCCCTGCAGGTCTGCCCGCGGCTCAAGAGATGCAGTCAGACACATCCCAGATCTCTGGAGAAGTCTGCCAGGCGGGACCGTGGGGCCCGTGGGAGGACCAGCACAGTGATGGGGTTGGGGTGGGGGAGCTTTGGGGAAATGGAAGTCTAGAGAGGCTTCCACAACAAGAGGCCTTTGTGTTGGGCTTTGAAGTGTGATGGAAAAGGCCTTCCTTAGAGCAGAAACAGCAAGAGTGAAGGCAGAGAAGCAGGAGAGGTGGGCATGCTTGTGGGCCCCAAGGAGTTCTGAGAGGCAGGAGCCTGAGAGCTGGGGATGCAAGCAGGGAGGCCGGGTGTGGGGTCTCTGTCAGCGCTCTCCTTCCTCTCACCCCCGGGGCTGAGGCTGTAGGCTGTAGGCTTCCTTCCTCCCCTGCTCCCCTGCCCGGGCCTAGGGCAGCTGGCTGTTTATGGAAGAGGCAGGAAGCCCTTCCTCCTCTGGGAAGCTCCCCTGAGAGGCTGGCCCCAGATAGGGTGCCCCCACCTCTGCTAGGGCCTGCAGTGGACCAGAGGGCGGGGCCGGTGAGCGTAGGCCAAGCCGCCCCAGCATTCTGCCCGCCCGGTGACACCTCTCGATGTTCCCGTCCAGCCCCGTCCTGGAAGGAGGACTGCAGCTGCCTGCCTGCCTACCTGCCTGTCCCGTCCCCATCTGAGCCTCCCCTCCATCTGCCTGAGGCCAGCGACCCACTGGGGCTTGAGGATGAAGCTGAGCCCACCGCACTGGCCCCTGTCCTGCCTCCTTGTGGTGAGTTGGGGATGGGACCGTGGGGAAGGTGAGTCCTGAGCCCTGCGCTCAGGAACCTCGTGCCGCGGCGGGTGCTGGGGTTGGTTACGCGGCTCTTCTTTTGAAGAGTCAAGGCAGTCTGACCCTAGGAAGCGCCTCCTGCCCCACGTGCTCCTGGTGCCATTGGCCTCCCAGTGTTTGGCACGTGCTGGAGCCGGGTCTAGGGCCTGAGGAGGTCTCTAGCACCTCCCATGTGACATTCCCTCTGCCCTTCAGGGTAGCTGGCTCTACGCTGTGCCTGCCCCAAACTGGGGCCCAACTGGAGGACTGGGGGATCTCCCCTGCGGGCAGGATTCAGGGCAGATAGTTCACACCTGGAATGGGAAGAGAGGGAGCTCCGAGAGGAATAGGGGGAGGACACGAATGGAGAAGAGCCTTCCTTTGGGGCCTGTCATGCTCTGTGTGGGTCCCAGGGTGTGAACGGGCTGGCCTTGTGTTGCGGGAAGGTCACGGAGGAGGATGTGGCCCCAGAGACTCAGCCGAGGCCCCGAGGCACCATCTGCAGTTTGGGCCCCAGGGATGATGAACTGAGGCTGGTTAATGACATTTTCAGCTGTGGTGTGTGGACCAAGGCAGCAGGAAGCGGGGCGGAACCTGAGAGGAATTCGGAAGAATTTCCTCCTCATCATCCTGGTTAGCTAGAAGGGCGTGACTCACAGACCCAGGGGCTCAAGATCCTGATCTGGCCCTGTCTGAGGCGTTTCAGCACTTTCCAGAAGCAGATGTGGTTCTCCCCTTGCCTAGGCAATGGCAATACAGCAGGTCTGGGACAGGCAGATTTTACTTGTAGCACAAGGGATTGAGGTTAGAGAGTGTCCCCAAAGCCTGGGGCTGGCCCTGTATATTGGTGGTCCTTGTGCCTGGGGTGACTGAAAGTGGGTGGGGGGTAGGTGGCCCCAGAGATGCCATGTCCCGCTGCTTTCCACTCCCTCAGTGTGTCCTGCCCTCTTTTCTTCCAGCTGTTGCCCTGGCCTCTGGCCACTGCAACATCAACAACCCCTTGGCCGTGCCCACCCGGCGAAGAGCCCAACCTGGTGAGCTCGCCCTGCCCATCCACCTCTCCTGGGAAGACTGTTGAGGGCCAGGGGCAGGGACCTCAGGCCTGGCTCCTGGCTTTGTTCTCACTCTTT